CTCCCCCCTCAGGGGGACCCGGAAAGGATCATCCTGAGTGAGTTGTCCCAGAAGCAAAAAGACACACACGGTATATACTCACTCATATAGACATACAACATAGGACAAACCCACTAAAATCTATGCATCTAAAGAAACCAAGCAAGAGAGAGGACCCTAACTAAAATGTTCAATCCCCACCTGAAAGGCAAAGAGGGTGGACATCAGAAGAAGAAGAAAACAGGAAACAACCTAGAAACCTGCTACAGAGGGCCTCTGAAAGCCAGAAGAAGAAAACAGGAAACAAACTAGGAACCTACCACAGAGGGCCTCTGAAAGCCTCTGCCCTGCAGACTATCAAAGCAGATGCTGAGCCTGATGGCCAACTGTCAGGCAGAGTGAATGGAATTTTATGTAAGAAGTGGGAAATAGTAAGAGCTGGAGAGGACAGGAACTCCACAAGGAGAGAAACAGAACCAGAAAATTTGAACACAGGGAACTTCCCACAGACTCATACTCCAACCAAGGACTATTCATGGAGATAACCTAGAACCCCTGAACAGATGTAGCCCATGGCAGGTCAGTGTCCAAGTGGGTTACCTAGTAATGGGAAGAGGGACTGCCTCTGACATAATCTGATTGGCCTGCTCTTTGATTACCATTTGTCTTTCTAAGTGAGGATTGATCATCTTACCCCAGGCCCTCCTTCTTGTTTAGTTTCTTTAGATGTACAGATTTTAGTATGTTTATCCTATATTATAGGTCTAGTATCCACTTATAAGTGAGTATATACCATGTGTGTTTTTCTTCTTCTGGGATACCTTACTCAGGATGATCTTTTCTAGATCCCACCATTTGCCTGCAAATTTCATGATTTCCTTGTTTTTAATTGCTGAGTAGTATTGCATTGTGTAAATGTACCACAATTTCTGTATCCATTCTTCAGTTGAGGAACATCTGGGTTGTTTCCAGGTTCTGGCTATTATGAATAAAGCTGCTACCAACATGGTTGAGCAAATGTCCTTGTGTACTGGAGCATCTTTTGGATATATGCCTAAGAGTGCTATAGCTGGATCTTGATGAAGCACTATTCCTAATTGTCTGAGAAAGTGCCAGATTGATTTTCAAAGTGGTTGTACAAGTTTACATTCCCACCAACAATGGAGGAGAGTTCTCCTTTCTCGACATCCTCTCCAGCATGTATTGTCACTTGAGGTTTTGATTTTAGCCATTCAGATGAGTGTAAGGTGAAATCTCAGGGTCGTTTTGATTTGTATTTCTCTGATGACTAAGGATGTTGAGCATTCTTTAAGTATTTCTCTGCTATTTGATGTTCCTCTATTGAGAATTCTGTTTAGATCTGTACTCTGTTTTTTAATTGGATTACTTGATTTGTTGCTGTTTAATTTCGTGAGTTCTTTATATATTCTGGATATTAGTCCTCTGTCAGATATAGGGTTGGTGAAGATCTTTTTCCAGTCTGTAGGCTGTTGTTTTCTTCTGATGACAGTGTCCGTTGCTTACAGAAGCTTTTCAGTTTCATGAGGTCCCATTTTTTGATTGTTGCTCTTTAAGCCTGTGCTGTTGGTGTTCTGTTCAGGAAGTTGTCTCCTGTGCCAATGAATTCAGGGTCTTGCCCACTTTTTCTTCTAAGAGGTTTAGTGTGTCCGTTTTTATATTGAGGTCTTTGATCCACTTGGATTTTAGTTTTGTGCAGAGTGATAAGTATGGATCTATTTGCATTTTCCTACATGTAGACATCCAGTTAGTCCAGCACCATTTGTTGAAGATGTTATTTTTATTTCATTGTATGGTTTTGGCATCTTTGTCAAAAATCAGGTGTCCATAAGTGTATGGGTTTATTTCTGGGTCTTCTATTTGATTGCATTGATCCACCATTCTGTTTCTATGCCAGTACCATGCAGTTTTTAGTATTGTTGCTCTCTAGTAGAGCTTGAGATCAGGGATGAAGATATCTCCAGAAGATCTTTTATTGTAGAGGATTGTTTTAGCAATTCTGCTTTCTTGTTATTCCTTATAAAGTTGAGAATTTTTCTTTCAAGGTCTGTAAAGAATTGTGTTAGTAATTTGATGGGAATTGCATTGAATCTGTAGATTGCTTTTGGTAGGATGGCCATTTTTACTATGTTAATCCTGCCAAGCCGTGAGCATGGGAGATCTTTCCATCTTCTGATATCTTCTTCTATTTCTTTCTTTAGAGACTGGATATTTTTTTTCATACAAGTCTTTGACTTGCTTGTTTAGAGTTACACCAAGATACTTTATCTTCTTTGTGGCTATTGTGAAGGGTGCTGTTTCCCTAATTTCTTTCTTAGCCCTTTTGTCTTTTGTATAAAGGAGGGCTATTGATTTTTTTGAATTGATTTTGTATCCAGCCATTTTGCTGAAGGTGTTTATCAGCTCTAGGAGTTTTCTGGTAGAATTTTTGGGATCACTCATGTATACTACCATATCATCTGCAAATAGTGATAATTTGACTTCTTCCTTTCTGAACTGAATCCCCTTGATCTCTTTTCATTGTCTTATTGCTCTAGCAAGGACTTCAAGTACTATGTTAAAGAGGTATGGAGAGAGTGGGCAGCCTTGTCAAGGCATATTATTAACTCAACTGCTAGGAAGGTCTGGTAGATGTTCAGTCTCTGTAAGCAAGAGGAGATATTTTCCGAAAATACATCACCACAATTGAGTGTTATACAATTCACACTCTCTTACTTAACTAAACTAGCTGTCTATATCTTATAGACAGATCTATCCTTAATTAGTATGGCCTGATTTGGTCCCATTTCTCAGTACCTATAATTTTTCATTCTTTATTATTACTTTGGCATTGGAGATTTGTATTCTAAGTGCCTATTTGCACTGGCAGTGGGGTCCTTATGAAATGCCTTGACATTAAGAAGAGGATCCTCACCACTCCTGAGGTGATCTGATAGACTAAGATCAGAAGGAAGGAGAAGAGGACCTCCCCTATCATCAGACTTGGGGAGGGGCATGCATGAGGAAGGGGAAGGAAGGGTGGGATCAGGAGGGGAGGAGGGAGGGGCTTATGGGGAAATATAAAATGAATAAAGTATAATTAATAGTAAAAAAAATTAAAAAAAAGAAGAGGATCCTCTTCTTAGTTTCTGGCATAAAAATGTGTTTGATTATCTCTTTACCTTCTCCCCTATTCCACTGCTGGGAAAGCCAATTTTAAGAACTCCTAACTCCTCTCATACATGAAGAACATCATTAACCAACAATATGGATCTTGGAAGTATTCTTTCTTGCTCCCGTGTCTTTGCTTCTAGGTAAGGGCCAGGATAAGACATTGTTGAGACTGCAGCTGCCCTCTAGGGCTCAAGGATAGAGGACTGGGAAAGTCAGTGGAGTGGGGCAGAATCCAAGGATTGAAGTTACAGAATTCATTACACCAGTATTTTAAACTCTGAGACAGGGTACCACCTGGAGTGAAATGCCTTTAGCTCGCCTGGGAGTGAAATAAGACATGTATGAACTTTACTTGAAGAGTGGGAATAGAAGCAGAAAATACGTCATCAATGTAGCTGATCTATGAACACGTTAGATTTACCATCTGGGGGAGCCCAAGAGTGACCAGAGACACTGTGCCAAGAGGGTAGTTAATTCTGCAACAACGAACCGAGTAGAGCTCAAGTATAAATGGGAAATCAAAGTCAAGAAAATATGTTTGTGAAGCATGAAACAGCACACATGTCATTTAAAATCTTTGGATGGGGAAAGCCATGACCTAAAACTAATAAAAGCGAAAGACACACATATCTGTCTATAACTGAATTTTTAACAGGTGCATGCCACGGAATGAATGGCAATGGGTGCCGTCTATTCTCTAGTAGAGAGATTAATATTCAAATGGAGGTATTTCATATTCACCAAGTAGAAGCCAATCATTCGCTTATCCGGGGTACTTAGAAAAGCCCTCTAAGAACAAACTCAAACACCTACAGGAGCTATTTGTGCAGCGTGATGGCAGCATGCCTTGACACTTGTGGGACGGAGCAGATGTGCAGGCATCACTTCCCCCCCCACCCGTCACTCCCAGCTGTCACCACACCTGTGTGGTGGGTTTAAAACTAAACTTCCTGCTTCCAGAACAAAAGGTGAGGCTAGTTATGGCTTATTTAAAAAGAAAAAAATTCTTACTGATTTTAGACAACTCACAGAGGCTATTTGCCTGGGAAATGCTTTCCTATTGATTATGCTAGTAGCCATTTGGTAATAGGTTTCCAGTCACTTCCAGCTGCTCACATCATCTGGGTGAAAAAAGAAAGAGAAAAACTGAATGCATAAGGCATAGTTGAAGCACATTCCTCAAGCGTGCTTAAGGCAAAAACTCTTCTCAGCCTTCACACTCTATACTATGGGGACTTTGAAGTTGTGATTTGAAGGATATGTGATTTAGTTTTTCCAGTTTGAAAAAAAAAAAAAAAAAAAAAGCAGAGTTGAGTTGCTGATCGCCAACACGGTAGCCACTCTGGGGAGACGACTAGTAAATAAAATTCAGCCGTTTGTGGCCAAGCTATTTCTCATTCCAGGTGGCCACAGGTGAGACTTTCCAAAGGTGAGGTGACACCCACAAAAATACCTTATCTGAATTTAATTCTGTATTGTGAATAATACAGCAACAATAAGTGATAATATAATAATATAAAATAAATTCTACGTTAGGCTATGGGTATTGCTGGTCCTTTATTTAGTAATACGTTTGACTTTTAAGATGGCTTTCTGCAGCAAGTTTCTATCAACCAACGATTTTAGAGTGCTTTTGGGGACCACCAACACGGGAGCGGACAGCACATAAAGGTGTAAGTGTAAAGGTTAGCACTATTTTAACTAGAGCTTTTCTTTCCGCTTTTGTTTTCTGTCAGGAGCCGTTGAAGTTGTCACCCCGTTTTTTTTGTTTGTTTATCTGTTTGTTTTGTTTTGTTTTAGATTGCTAGGATGGAAATCTGGGACGTTTAAAATTATCAAGGGCGAAGGCAATGGCAAGCAACTTCCCCCCAGAGGACCTCGTGGAGCTCTGCTATCAGAACGTGAACGGATCCTGCGTCAAAAGTGCCTATTCACCCTGGCCTCGAGCCATCCTCTACGCGGTCCTCGCTTTGGGAGCCGTGCTGGCAGTGTTTGGGAACTTCCTGGTCCTGACTGCCATCCTGCACTTTAAACAGCTACACACGCCTACGAACTTTCTGGTGGCGTCCCTGGCCTGTGCCGACTTCCTGGTGGGCGTGACAGTGATGCCCTTCAGCACGGTGAGGTCTGTGGAGGGCTGCTGGTACTTCGGGGAGAGTTACTGTAAGTTCCACACGTGTTTTGACACCTCCTTCTGCTTCGCGTCGCTCTTCCATTTATGCTGCATCTCCATCGACAGGTACGTTGCCGTTACGGACCCGCTGGCCTATCCAACCAAGTTCACCGTCCCTGTCTCAGGAATCTGCATTGCTCTCTCTTAGTTCTTTTCTGTCACCTACAGCTTTTCCATCTTTTACACAGGAGCCAACGAAGAAGGGATCGAGGAACTGGTGGCCGCTCTGACCTGTGTGGGAGGCTGCCAGGCTCCACTGAATCAAAACTGGGTTTTACTGTGTTTCCTTTTATTCTTCCTGCCCACGGTTGTCATGGTGTTCCTCTACGGCAGGATATTTTTGGTGGCAAAGCACCAGGCTAGGAAGATAGAGAGCACAGCCAATCCAGCTCAGGCATCTTCGGAGAGCTACAAGGAGAGAGTAGCCAAAAGAGAGAGGAAGGCTGCCAGAACCTTGGGGATTGCCATGGCAGCATTCCTTGTATCATGGCTGCCTTATACTGTTGATGCTGTGATTGATGCCTACATGAACTTCATAACACCAGCCTACGTCTATGAGATATTAGTGTGGTGTGTTTATTACAACTCAGCCATGAACCCCTTGATATATGCCTTCTTTTATCCTTGGTTTCGCAAGGCAATAAAACTCATTATGAGTGGCAAAGTCTTCCAGGCTGATTCATCAACAACTAATTTATTCTCTGAAGAGGCGGGTGCAGGTTAAAACTACCGCTGCAGAGATTTAAAGTCTGACTGGGGTTTAATCAGAGGCAGAAATAAACACTCTGACCTAGGAAGGTCCCACAATCATTCATCAGGTAGCAGGCTGCTCTGAAGCATTTTCTCCTCATAGGCTGAGTGACACTTGATCAGAGGTCAGATCTGTTATTAACAGATCTTCCTTCCAATGCTGTGTTTTTGCTTAATGTTTTTCCTTTGCTCTGAAATCTCTACTTGTATCTTCAAATAATTTGAAGGATTGTCCCTCCTCTCCCACCCTCGGTGAGTTTTCAGATGCTGACAATAACATAAAGGAAAAGAAGCTCTTAGAAATACAGAATTACATTTTTCAGGGGACTGGGCCTTCTTTAAAGTATATTTTGCATGAGAAGTAAATATAATTTCATATTCTTAAAATGCTTAATTTTAACCTCAAAGAACTTTGTAGTGAGCCGTATTGTAGAGCACCCGAGTGACTGAAAAGCATCTAAAAATATCCAAAGCCTTACATCTCTGGAGCCCTGCAAATCACCCGTTCGCTTAATTTCACAGAGACAGGTTCACACAAAAGGCATGTGCTCACACCATGACCCAACTTGATTTCTAGAGAATATATTTTATTATTGAAGTATTTGCATATGAATAAACAGAGGGCCTGTCTACTTGTTTAGGAGATGTGGAAGGGTGCTTGTTGGTCGTCTTTATTTATTTTTTTCTTTTTTGAGACAGGGTTTCACTCTGTAGCCTGGGCTGGCCTGGCACTTGCTGTGTAAACCAGGCTTTCCATGAACTCAGAGAATCTGCCTCTCACTTGTCCACTTGGTTAGAATTTGATAAGATGCAAATTTTGTATTTTAAAATGTTAATTCAAATGAGTGTGTTTTAACCTTTGAGGTCTGTCTTTGAGTCAAAGAAAGCACATTTGGTATCGATAATGCATAAAAACAAAGTGAGCCAATGGTTGTTTTAATACAACAAAAACTCAAACATATGCTCCCACTTTCTAGTCAGTTTCTCAATCAATATGCCTTATAATTTATTTTGATTGAAATTTGTGTTGTCTATTACAAGACACAGATTGAACCTGAAAACAACTGGGATAAGGATATTATTTTCCTCATGTACTTGAATGGTGGTCCTGAATGTAGCCGATTACCCAACCACTCTATAATGAGCTTTTGTTACAAAGTGAAATGGTTCTAAGTAAGCAGTTCCATAAGCCTTCCACAGAACAGCTGCTGCGTTCTTTATAGATGGACCAGGTTAGAAACACCTCACAGAAAAGTTAAGCTTGGTCACGTCTGGGTGCTGATAGACTTTCAGTGGAGCAGTGAATGTTTAGCAAAGAGGCAAAAAAGAGGAGAAAGGGAACATGATCTTTCACACCTGGTTGTGGTTCAGAAAACAGCCACACACAGGGCTCTGCAGATCACCTTTCAAGCAATCTCTGTAAGGCTCTCATGTTCTCACTCCTTAAGAGGCAACACAAAGCTTGTGTCTCCTGGGCGGTGAGGCAGATATGTCTTTATACCAACGAGTGTTCTGTCCTTCACTGCAAACATAAGCTTTGTAAAAACACTCGTAAGCAACAGAGGAAAGAACCCAAAGCAATTCCGTTCAATTTTAGCTCATTTTTTTAAATCTGTAGACCACATTCTTAGACGAACAGATTTCGAGAGTAATAAATCCTAACCAGAGACGCTTTCCAGTCTTCCCAACATCACTAAGTGGGGAGTGTACTCCCAAGCAACTGTCTTGCTTATTTCTATGCTCTCTGCATCCTTCCAAAGGACGTCTTCTGGTAACACTTCTGTGTCTATTTCTTCAAGATCAAGCTGACTGTTAGCACAGCTCTATCCTCTCTCCAATGACACTCTGATTCCTAGAAACAAGCTGCAAGCATCTGACATCCACACACTAAGACCCTGCAGAGCCGCAGATGTGTTCAAACCAGACCCATGGAAGAGGAACATGAGTTCTGCTCTCTGATATCCACTCTTTCTGGGTTGGGTCCTGAACTTGGTCTTTCAACCAAGTGATTTGCAGGTCTTGAGTTATTTTCTGTCCAAGAAAAGGTTGCACACTATTACAGAGAACAGCTAATTCCCTTAAGCCCTGGTGTAGCTAAGGAAATACAGTGCCTCTCAAATATAGAAATTATTCTTAAAATACAAATTTAAAGTGTCTATAAAATAAAAATCTGTCCTAAAGTGTTACTTAATTCACAATTGCTTTTTGTTTCCATATGTTTTCTTAGGTTGATACTTAAATTGACAATTATATTATACAAAACTGTGTGTTTTTAAAAATATTATTTAAAAGACATGCTCATACATATTATAGAAATTATCAGCAATTGGACAATGTCCCCCAGTGCGGTAAAGATTATCACAACTTTTCCAATCATTTAGTGGTAAGGCTATTAATTGGTCATCAGTAACAAAATACAGACACAGTAATAGTGGACTGGGAATATAGAACAGCGATAGAGCGCTTGCCTTGTATGTGTGAGGCCAGAGATCTCATTCCTAGCACAGCTAAAAAATGAATGAATGAATGAATGAATGAATGAATGAATGAATGAAAAATAACCATTCACACCTGGACCTCTAAGAACTTTCAGTGTGACTGAGCATTGCTATAATAGAATGTTCCCTTTGTTACAGAAGCCATAATAACTGCCTAACTGGCTGGGATTCATGACGTCTTTATTTTTACAGCAGTATTTCTGTTTATTTCACTCTCATGCCTTTGACTCAGTTTTACTCTTACACATTTGGAGGTCAACCAGAAAGAATTACATTTCTCAAAAAAAAAAAAAAAACCCAGAACAGAACAATACTAGAAATACTAATTTCAACATTAAATTATTTTAAGGTGAGCATTAAAGACAACACACATACCCCTACTTATCTTGAAAATTTAGTTCAATAATAATAGTTTTTCTTTTATTGTTAGAAATGATTTATGTTAAAAAATAAATGTTATTTTGAGGCTTATACACCATGATGCTAACATGATCTCAACCAGTGTTTCTACCATCTTATATTTTTGTTAAAAATGGCTGATACCTACTTATTTAATAAACATATTCAATAAAATATAATGGAATTGACAGTGTTTGTTTCATACATTAACCCTCTAGACATGACCTATCCTAGAGCTGTTGTTTTATTCATTCTTTCTACATTTCCCTGTTTCTTCCAGTTCCATTTACCTTATATTTTATTTATATATACATATTGTATGTGTGAGTGTGTACTTGCGTGTGTGAGGGCCTGTTTGCCTGCCTGTCTGTCTGTGTGAATGTCTGTTTGTATGAATGTCTGCCCTTTGTGTAGATCCTGTAGAAGCCAAAAAAGGTCATTAGATGCCCTGCAGCAGGAGTTACAGGACTGTGACCTGTCTGATGTGGGTGCTAGGAATTGAACCCAGGTCCTTTGGAAGAGCAGTGAGCACTCTCATTGCTGAGACACATCTTGTCATTAGCTATACTGCAAAAACTATTTGTTATAATACAACTGTGTGCCACATTTTTCACTTTCCTGCCCTTTATAAATCACAATATTGTATGTTTACAGAAAAAGCTAAATGTCCACAATTTTGGTTGGCTGGTAAAGTCTCATCCATTCTATTTAAATATTTTTTTAATATTGCCTTACAAATTTTAAAACTGAAAAAAAAATTAAAACAAACAAGTTACCAAGTTTTAAATTTTCACCCATATAGTGATAATCCATTAGTCTTTCATTCTTAAAACCTTACATCATTTTTCATCTTTATTTGGTTTTGTAAAATGTTTAATGATTAATATTTGAGGAGAACCTAGCATTAGGTTATCTCCGCTTACATTAACAGAGAACAAACAAACCAATATCTTAGAGATTGACTGTAAAGAGTCCATATGGCAGGTTTGCTTCTGGAAGCAGTTACTTTCCTCTGTCTGAAAAAACTGTGCATAAGACCAAGGTCTGAGTGAGCTCCTCACCACCCGTGTTTGAAATGCTCAAATCCGTCTACATCATTCAGTGGCTTCACTTGGGCTAAGTCATTTACCATTTGTGTGTGTGAGAGTTCTCGTCTCTAAAATGGGGGTAAAAATAGTGTTCTCTGTGCAGAGCTGCCTACAAAGCAAAATGGACCTGTAGATTCTCAAACCGGAGGTGATAAACCTCTGCAGCATAACCTGTTTCAAGCCTTATAAATGTTCTCTGTAAGAAAAAAGGTGCCAAGATGTTGCATTGAAGAGTCTTTTAATGCATGCCCAATAAGATGAGTTCAAAAACAAGTCTGGCATAAGGAAGTATCAAGTCCAGATCTCAACAGGAAGATCTGGAATCCAAATGTAAAGAATAAAGACAATGTAATTACAAGATAAAATTGCATTTGTATGAATAGCTGGCAGTACATTCATACTATGTGGGTTTTCAGAGTTAGAATTTTTTTTCTTATTGTTAATACTTCCTCAAAAGTCATAAATTAAGAAACACATTTTGTTTAACTTAAGTTTCTTATATATTCTGGATATTAGCCCTCTGTCAGATATAGGGTTGGTGAAGATCCTTTCCCAGTCTGTAGGTGTTGTTTGTCCTGAAGATAGTGTCCTTTGCTTTACAGAAGCTTTTCAGTTTCATGAGGTCCCAATTATTGATTGTTACTCTTAGAGCCTGTGCTGTTTGTGTTCTGTTCAAGAAGTTGTCCTCTGTAGAAGGGAACTTTTAAGGAGTTTCTCCCTCTTAGAATCTTTAGGCAGCCAGACAAGCCACTTCAACCATTATGAACTTTTCTCAAGAAGTCTCTGTGGCATGAGGTGTAAAGGGAGATCTACTTTGATAATTATGATCACTAAGTTCTGCTCTGAAGTGCTTGGTGTATGCTGCGTAATTTCCTACAGATGATTCTGACTTTTGTCACCCAAGACTTTTTCTCAGTTCAACAGTGTTGAAAGAGCCCAACCCAGCATTTGACACTATTTTGATGTTTCCTTATACATAAATCTGCCTT